TGCCTGTAATCCCAGCACTTTGGGAGTCTGAGGCAGGCAGATCATGAGGTCAGGAGTTTGAGACCAGCCTGGCCGACATGGCGAAACCCCATCTCTACTAAAAAATACAAAAATTAGCTGGGCATGGTGGCACACCTGTAATCCCAGCTACTCGGGAGGCTGAGGCAGGAGAATCGCTTGAGCCCAGTAGGCAGAGGTTACAGTGAGCCAAGATCACGCCACTGTACTCCAACCTGGGCAACAGAGTAAGACTCTGACTTGGAAAAAAATTAATTAATTAAAATATATATATTTTTTTATTTGAGACAGGGTCTCACTTTGTCACCCAGGCTGGAGTACAGTGGTACCATCTCAGCTCACTGTAGTCTTTTTCTTTTTTCTGAGACAGTGTCTCACTCTGTTGCCCAGGCTGGAGTGCAATGGCACAATCTCGGCTCACTGCGAACTCCACCTCCCAGGTTCAAGTGATTCTCCTGCCTCAACCTCCCGAGTAGCTAGGGTTACAGGCACGTACCACCACACCCAGCTAAGTTCTATATTTTTAGTAGAGACGGGGTTTCATCATGTTGGCCAGGCTGGTCTGGAATTCCAAACCTCAAGTGATCCGCCCCCTTGGCATCCCAAAGCTCTGGAATTACAGGCATGGGCCACTGTGCCTAGCCCAGCTCACTGGAGTCTCAGCCTTCTGGGTTCAAGCCATCCTCCTGCCTTACACCTGCAAGAAACTGGGACTACAGGCACATACCACCAAGCCCTCTAAATTTTTTTGTATTTTAAGTAGAGACAGGGCTTTGCCATGTTGCCCAGACTGGTCTTGAGCTCCTGAGTTCAAGCAATCCACCCTTCTCAGCCTCCCAAAGTGCAAGTATTACAGGTGTGAGCTACCAGTCCTGGCCTTAAAATATATTTTAAAATATACAATTTCTTTTTTTGTTTTTTGTTGTTGTTTTTTAGAAGTGGTGGGGTTCTAGAAAGTTTTATAAGGTGTCTGGGCGCAGTGGTAATGCCAGCACTTTGGGAGGCTGACGCAGGCGGATCACAAGGTCAGGAGATCAAGACCATTCTGGCCAACATGGTAAAATCCCGTCTCTACTAAAATACAAAAATTAGCCAGGTGTGGTGGTGTGTGCCTATAGTCCCAGCTACTCAGGAGGCTGAGGCAGGAGAATCACTTGAACCCAGGAGGCAGAGACTGCAATGAACTGAGATCATGCCACTGCACTCTAGCCTGGAAACAGGGTGAGACACCATCTCAGAGGGGAAAAAGAAAAAGAAAGTTTTATAAGGCAAAGCTAATTTATCCTGATGAATTGGATGTGGGATATGAAAGTCTGTATATAAAGTCATTAAGACTTGAATAAACTCACCATAGGGTATAAAGAATGGCTCAGAGCGTTTGAATTTAATTCATTTTGGACTACCTGAAAAAGGTTAATGATTTTTACAGCTGTTTGAAATAGTTGCAAAAGTACTTATTCATTCTCTTTACAGATCTTATAACACAAATTAGACAAGAAAGAAAGGTGGCTAGGCATGATGGCTGAGGTACTTTGAGAAACTGAGGCAGGTGGATTGCTTGGGCCCAGGAGTTCAAGACCAGCTGGAGCAACATGGCGAAACCCTGTCTCTACAAAAAAATACAAGAATTAGCCAGGCATGGTGGCACTGCCTGTTGTCCCAACTATTCTTGGGAAGCTGAGGTGGGAGGATCAAGTGAGCCTGGGAGGTTGAGGCTGCACCATGATCGCACCACTGCACCCCAGCCTGGGCAACAGAGTGAGACCCTGTCTCACAAAACAAACAAAGGTAAGGATGCTACCGGAGGAACACCACTAGATATCATAGATTAACAAAACCATACTACTATACAGCATCATCCTATAAGGAGAAATGCAGGCAAGTTGTTTTTTAAAAATAACTCTCCAAATCTAAGTACCTTCCTCTGAGTATAGTTTAGGTTAAAAAAATAAAAGTATCTTCCTCTGAGCGTAGTATGAGTATCATACCTGTTCCTGAATCAGACATCCAAGCATTTGGAGTTTCATCTGGTTTACTGAGGTAAAAAGCACGAGGATGTGTAGCAGCAGCAAAATCAGACTACAAGAAAGAAAACTATTGGTTTACAGCTAAAAGTCATTAGGCACAAACTGCTGACTCAAGGAATGAGAGCGGGCATCAAACCAGGTGTAGAGAAACCTTCAGAGGGTTCACAAAGAAGAAACCTGGGCCAGGCGCAGTGGCTCACACCTGTAATCCCAGCATTCTGGGAGGCCAAGGCGGGTGGATCACGAGGTGAGGAGTTCCAGAACAGCCTGTCCAAGATGACACAATTCCATCTCTGCTAAAAATACAAAAATTAGCTGGGTGCAATGGTGGGTGCCTATAACCACAGCTACTCAGGAGGCTGAGGCAGGAGAATCGCTTGAAACCCGGGAGGGAGAGGTTGCAATGAGCCAAGATCTCGCCACTGCACTCTAGCCTGAGCGACAGAGCGAGACCCAGTTTCAAAAAAAAAAAAAAGCCTGGTTTCCCCATGGTTACAAGAATGCTCAGAGGAATTCACTGTCAAATATTCACTGTTGAATTTTTTTTTTTGCCTGTGTAATTTACAAAAGTTTATTTCGGTTCTCTGTAGAGCTGGAAGGAAAATGGGGGCAGGTATTATTTCGTGAGTTCAGACCTAAAATGTATTTGCCATTTACATCCAAAACTAATTTGAGATGCCTAGAATTAAAGTCATTAATATAAAAATTAATGTAAAAGCTCTAACAATTCATTATCATTATAATTACAATAAATCAGATTAACTTTAGAAACCATAAATCAATAATATGAACCTTAAGTAGACTACTTCCTATATACAAACAATTGGTTACTAGTCGCTGCTTACTAATTCTAGTAAAAATTCTGAGCAAAACTCTCCTTACAACATCTCTGGCACTGTCAGAAGAAATGTGTTTCCAAACAGAGATATGCAATGAGAATATTTCTATCAATTTTTCTTATCAGATCCCTTATCAAACTTTCAATTCCTGTAAAGAGTATGTAACCAACCATGAACCCACTGCCAAAGTAAAAGCACACTGACATAATACTACCTACCAAGAAGGGGGATTAACCCATCAACCTTATAAGGCACCACTTATTTTCTTTCTCATCAAGAAACAAATTCCAAAGTCATCTTTTGTCTCTTACAAAACTAACTCCTCCCTGTCTGAATTTGTCTCAGTACTTAAGACCAAGAGAAGGTGACTAGAAAAGTCCAAGTCAAATAATCCCAAGTAAAATATTTTGTCCTCGTCTGGATTCTGAGGTGCAAATTCAGTGCACCTGGCCACAGCACACACAGTGGGCTGGCAGGGGCCTACCTGACGGAGTTGCCTGCTGCACTCTTCTGGGCAAACAAGGCATCCACTAAAGAAAACAGGCCCAGCTTTTAATGAAAAATAAAGGTAGGATGCAATGAAAAGCCCTTCTAGGCCGGGCGCGGTGGCTCACGCCTGTAATCCCAGCACTTTGGGAGGCCGAGGCGGGTGGATCACAAGGTCAAGAGATCGAGACCATCCTGGTCAACA